CGGGCCTCCAGTGGGCAGGTTAACTGTAGCCGTCGGTCCCACGAAAGGGTCTGACGGCCAGAAACACAATTTTCCAACCCCCACGGTTTTTGTTCTTTCTTTTCCTTTGAAAAAATCGAAAAGAAAAGGTTGGCAGTGGGGGGGGGGTTCCCGACTGCCAGGGGCACCCCCCCATGCCACCGAAACCCGGTTGCCCCCTCCCTGCTTGGCACAGCTCTTTTTGGCGAGGGCCGCTTTACCCCCGTTGAACTGGGGGTAGGACAGGGGTAGGGCGGAGGTAGGAGGGCACTCTAAGGTTAGAGAGGGGACCCCTCGTTCTACCTTCCGCCAGACACTTTAATACCTTTCAATCTCGACGTAAAATTCCATTGGAGATCAAGGATGGGTGCGGAGATCGGTCTTTCTCATCCTAATATTTCTCTCGACACATTGGCTGTTTTTTTTTTTTAGCACAAAAAATACCTTTCGGTGCCGACATCACGACGTTGAATTCGGTCGGAGATGAGCGAATGGTGGCTGAGATTGTTGCTCCCCATCCTCAGGTTTCTCTCCAGTGTCTCCACACATTGGCTGTTTCTTATTTTTCCAACTAAAAATATCCTGCACGCCACATGTCCGATTAGCATGGAGATGAGGGACAGGGGAGGAGATCAATCCTCCCCACCGTCGCATTTCCATGTCTTTTAAATTTCTTTTTCTGGTTTTCTCAACGAAAAAGGTGTTGTGTGTGACATCTCCCTAGCTATGGAGATGAGGGATTGGGAAAGAGATCGATCCTTCGCACCCTACGAATTCTCTCTTTACATTCCTCCTTTCTTCTTTTTGCTCTTTTGAAAAAGGTCCTGTCCGTTACATCAGCGTGGCCATGGAGACGAGGGATTGGGGACGAGATCGATTCTCCCCACCCTACGATTTCTTTCCAGCGGCACACATTCCTTTATTTTCTACTCTTTCAAAAAAGGTGCTGCGCTTCACATCTACATGGCAAGTGCTGGTTTGTTGCTTGGGTGTCGCATCCCCCTCGCGTGCACACACACACACACACACACACACACACAGCACGGTTCATTCCAGTTTGATCATCGTATCGATGGAAGTAGCTGGGTTGGAGCCATACCTGTTCGCCGGTGCGTTGCTCATCCTATCGATGGAAAACTCTCTCTCTCTCTCTCTCTCTCTCTCTCTCTCTCTCTCTCTCTCTCTCTCTCT